GATAGATAGATAGATAGATAGATAGATAGATAGATAGATAGATAGATAGATAGATAAACATAAGACAAAATGTTAATTAAAATAACATAAAAATGTTAAAAACTCCTGGAGGCTGGGGCAGGGGATAGTACGTGGGTTTTAATCCCAGCATTCAGAAGGCAGAGGCAGGTGGATCTCAGTGAGTTGGGGGCCAGCATGGTCTACACAGCAAGTTCCAGGCCAACCTGAAATACATAGTGAGTCTGTTTCAAAATAAACAACTCTGTGCTAGGAAAATAAAATTAGGACAGTCAGAAGTTAATACTTTGCTTGCTTCTTATTTGAACAGAAATCAGTAACTCTGATCCTTGGAAAATACAAAAGCAAAGCCTTCAAATGATGCTAGCAGATTTAATCAAGGGAAATTCAGATACCATGACTAACATGAAAAAGATGTTTAAGAATATAGTCAAGAATGTGCAGGTTGCATTCTTCACATGCTCAGGTTTGCTCTCCACCTTTTAACAGTGGTTTTATTCATAATAAAACTATTACCAAAAAAATAAAAAAAGAATAAAGTCAAGGGGCTGGCAGGATGGCCTAGAGGTTGCTCTTGTGGAGGATCTGGCTTCATTTCCCAGCACTCTCGTGGCAGCTCACAACCAGCTGGAACTCCAACCCTCTTCTGGCCTCTGCAAGTACTAGGCAGGAATGTAATGAACATTCATAAAAGCAGATAAAACATACATATAAAATAGACAAAATACAAATAAACAAAAACCAAAATAAAATGAAATGAAGAGCAAACCCAAACCCCACAGCAGAGACAGGTGAGGATCCCTCTCCTCACCCACTCCAGGCCCTGGTTCGGGTGGTCTGCCCCACGTGCACCTCCGGTTACCTTGTGGACATCTTTTTGTAGACTGAGCCCCCAGCGGGTCAGCTCATTGTTGGCTGTCTCGTTTTGTGAAATTCTCTGCAGCAGACATTCCAAAGCACTGTGGTGCTGCTTGGGGCTCAGATTAATCTGCTGAGTCAAGTCCTAGACAGAAATAAAAAGTAAGATTGCAAATTCTAAACATTACTCCCTCTAGCAGGAGGCTAAATGAAACCCATGCTCTGACATGTTTCCACGAGCAGACTCATGCTCACTGAAATTAGTGGAAAATGTCAAATGTAGCCAATGACTTTTGTAAATACTTCTCAGGAATATGAATGAGGTGCATGGAAAAAAAAAAACTAACAACAAAATTAACAACTTTTAGCGTCTACTGACTTTCTCTCTTGCTGGATATGGCAGTACACATTTTTAATTCCAGTACCTGCCAGGCAGAGGCAGAGGCAGGTGAATCTCTGGGAGTTCGAGGCCAGTCTGGGCTATGTAGTGAGACCCTGTCTCAAAATAATTGATTTATTTTTTTAAGTTACTGATTCTGCTCCAGGACATCTGACTTCTTTCTCAAGGCATCTTTTGAATTTAAAATTCCTAAGAGTCATGAACAGGAACAAATTGGAGGAGGCTTAATTATACCAATTTAAAATCTGGGAAAATCTGGAGGTGAGGGCCAGGAGTGGCAAGCCACCTGTTTATTATGCTGAGACAGGAAACCACATTCAGGCTTGCACCTTATCCTTCTGTATTAGAAAGTCAGCGCCATCATAAGGCCACTTTCCCCTCCAAACCTGCCACATTATAGGCACTTTAAGAGATACTTAAAAGTGGTATATGAGGAATCTCAATCATGTAAGAGTGCTTTGTGCTTCTGAAACTCATGGACCATATTCGGAGCCCCTATGAGGCCAGAGAGAGGGGTGATGGAGAGGAGGAAAGAGCGGGGGAGGGGAGAAGAAAGAGAGAGACAGAGAGACAGAGACCAGAGAAATCATAAAGTCACCGGGGGTTGGCAGTTGTTGGGAAGGAGCAGGAGCTGAAGGATCAGAAAGTAAACATGAAAGAAATCTCTCACAGGGCCAGCCTGCTTCCTCAGGCTTTCTGTAATTCTACTTGAAATCTTATGTGACATGTGGGTCTGCGGCAGACCAGAAGAGCAAGATGGCAGAGGGTAGCTAAAGCCTGCCCAGTGGAAGGCAGCAGTGACAGTCTGGCTGCATACTGCCAGGGTGACTGCTGGGCCAGCTTCTGCCTCTCAGAGCTCCCAGAGTTGAGCTGATGATCACAGGGCCTCAGCTGCACTTCTCATCTTCCCACACAATGGCTTTCGTTCATTCTCTTTCATGTCTTCACATAACCGATGATTTGGAGAAACACTACAGTAATTTGGTGTTCTCATGGTGTCCCATTATAGTTCTATAATCAGTTAACAATCATCCATCTAACTGGGGAGAATGAGGCTGCTCCTTTTCACCTAGAATCTAGTGCCTACACTGTTATAAAGACCTCCAGAGCCATGACTTGTTTAGCATGGTTTCTGTGGTGAACCCAGAAGAAAAAGCTTGCCCGGGGAGTCAGAACTGGAACTGCCCCACTGATGCTGGTCACTCAAAGCAGGCATCTCCCCAAACAGCAGGAACTCCCCCACCAAAAAAAAGCAAGACTCCAACCTTCATGGCCCTGAAGTCCTTCTTCATCTTCTCAGGGATTCCCGTCATAAAGGAGAGCTCAGGCAGCAGCAGGATCTCACCCTTCAGCAACTTAGACAAGAAAACAGAGGGAAAGTGAGGGATGGAGATGGTACCCCAGGCCCACCCCAGGCAGGTGCAGTTCTGCAGTGACAAAGTTGCCACTCCTCAGAAGTGTCCACTCCAGGAAGAGGAGACTAGTTCAGGACATAATACAGACAGCTGCAGTGGCAGGTAAAACAAGGAGGAGGAGAGGGCATCACAAGAAGAGAGAAAAACAAACAAACAAACAAACAAACAAACAGTTTTGTCCCTACTGAGCCTCAAGACAACACAACATGCTTAGTCTCATCAAGCCCAATGTCTCTTCTCAGCAATCTCAGCCTCAAGGTTAAGAGGAGGTGGGGCTGGAGAGACAGCTAAGCAGTTAAAAAAAAACGCCTGTTGATCTTGCAGAGGAATGGGTTTGGTTCCCAGAACCCACAAAATGGCTCACAACCATCTGAAACTCTTATTTCAGGAGCTCAGACACCTTCTTCTGACCTTAGCGGGCATCAGGCATGCACACTGTGCTCTAGAGACATACATGCAAGCTAAACACTCATACACATAAAATAATAAATCTAAATTTTTTTACTTAAAAAAAAAAAAGACAAAGTTCGGTATTACGGCAATTCTCCCCTTCACCTGTTAAATGGCTAAACCTCCCTTGAATCTACAGATTTTTTTTTAAGATTTATTTTAATTATGTGTGTGGGGTATATGCACATGAATACAAGTACCCAGGGACCGGAGGTGTCAGACTTTCCTGGAGCTGGAGTTATAGGTTGTTGTAAGCTGCCTGATGTGGGTGCTAGGAATTGAACTCAGGTCCTCAGGAAGAGCAGTGTGTGCTCTTAACCACTGAGCCATCTCACCAAACCCCATTAAAAAAAATTTTTTTTTTTTTTGAGGCAGATCCTCACTACATAGCTCTGGCTGACCTGGAACTCACTATGTAGAGCAGGCTGGCCTCTGCCTCCCAAGTGCTGGGACTGTAGGCATGTGATACCACACTCCTTTCAGAGGTTTAATCTTTTTTTCCTTTGTGTATGTAAGAGTGTTTTGCCTAAATGCATAAATGTATCTGGTATCCACAGAGGACCAGAAAAGGCCTTAGATCCACTAAAACTGGAGTCACAGACAGTTGTGAGCGTCCTTGTGGGTGGTGAGGATGGAAGCCAGGTCCTTTCAAAGGACAGCCAGTACTCTACCATATTTTTTTTCTTATATTTAACCATTTAATCTTTATATGCAAGGAATTCTCCTTCCACCTTTAACCAAAATTGTGTATGTGGCTATTTTTAGCTCCTTCTGGTGTAGCCTGGCAACACTGGCTGGAGGAAAAATAAAAACATTCCCAACAGCCCCACCATAGAGTACACAGGCGCCCATGGACGTGAGTACACACTAGTGGCCAAGAGAACAGAGGACTATTGCTGGAGTGTAAGCCACTCACCGTGCCGTGGTTGTTCTGTCTCTCACTGGGCCTGTGGATGAGGAGCGGCTGGTCATCTTCCTTAACTGTGATCCCGTAGTTCTTGCTGAAGCAGGACACAGTAAGACAGTGTCACCACTCCTCCACCAGCCCCTGCAGCTCTTCCCCAGTGCCAGCCCCTGCAGCTTATAATGGACACAGTGCCCTCACTGACCATTCATCAGAAACCAATCATAGCGTATCTAATGTGGAAAATGCAGCCTACAGTTTCCTTGCTAATAGACAGAGGACAAAGGCTATAGCCCAGGAGAAAAGCAGGTGAAAAATGCATCAGGCTAAAAGATTTAGACAACAGAAAGGTGAAATAAAATGATTAAAAATTTCAATTTCAATTCTCTCACCAGACAAAATCAACAAAAGAAATACATACATCATAGCCCCAAATTCACTTCTATAGTAATTACCAAAAGAACCAACTGTAAGGGCAACATGTGTAGGCCAGACTGCCACAGACAAGCTCATTCGGTCTCAGGTATATTATCAGTTCCCGGACCTGTACAGTGTCGGGTACTGCACCGTTCCTGGAACTCAATATCCAGAGTCAGGGAGAGCATATCCCGTCCCCGCCCTCCCTCTCGTTTGTACCTGTAGTACTCCAGGAATGTGATCTCCTTCCCATCAGACATCACGAAGCTGTCTTTGGGGGTCTTGTTCCAGTCCACGTCATCGATGCGGTAGGTACGGTTGTTGTAGCGTGTGATGACGATGCTGCCAACCAGAAGCTTGCTGCACTCGTCCTGAAAGTGCTCCTTGTTCTGCTGGTAGATAGCATGCCTTTGGGAAGAGGCAAGAGGCTTTGGATGGCAGCCATACACTCAGGTTCATAAGAGAGAAATAGGGACCAGTAAATGAGGTAAAGGCCTAAGGGTTGGATCACAGCTTTTACCCCTTGTTAGCCAGAGTTATGACATGAGCCAACTACCATTTTTTAAATTATTATTTTAATTATGTACATGTGGTATGTTTCTGTCTGCATGTTAAATACACATGTGAGTACAAGTGCCCAAGGAGGCCAAAGACATCAGATTCCCTGGAGCTGGAGTTACAGGAAGTTGGAAGCTGTCCGAAGAGGGTGCTAGGAACTGAATTTGGGTCATCTAAAAGAACAACAGGTGCTCTTAACTTTGGTCCCATCCCCCCCTCCGGCCAAAAAAAAAAGTTACTTGCATTTTTTTTTTTTTTTTAAATCTAGGCTAGAAAGATAGCTCAGTGGTTTAGAGTACATGTTTATCTTACAGAGGGATCCAGGTTCAATTCCCAGCCCATCTGGAAGGCTCATAACATTTGTAACTCAAATTCCAGGGCTTCTGGCCTCTGTGAGCACTAGCCATGCACATGGTACACAGATATGCACACAGGCACAAAACAAAACAAAACAAAACAAAACAAAACAAAAAAACACCCATACACATAATGTAAAATTTAAAAAATTCTAATTAAATCTTCATGACCTCCACATACAACAAACAGTGAAAAGTTCTGTAGTTTGCCCGTAATTTCTCTCATTTTAAACCACAAATTAAACTGCATGTGTGGGGTCTAAAGAAACATTCCTACATGGTTTAGAACAGGGAACACCTATGTCTTATGGTTCTATAAGGTTGCTCCAGATCACAGAGAAGCCCTTCTCTGAGGATGTGCATATGGGGCAAAGGCATTTATAGGTACTTCCAGTGGACTTTAAATTATTGTTTTAATCACATCTTTACACCAAACCAAAGCAAAGTGGGTGACTTTGAGTGAGTCTGAGGCCACCATCATCTATATGTGGGCCACATAACCATATCTGTTTCAACAAGAAAGAAAAAGTGAAGAAAAAAGAACAAAACAAAGCAAGAGAATGTGCAGCTAGCATTTTGTGTGTAAACTTGGCACACAAATTTGAGTTATCTGGAAGGAGGGACACTCAATTGAGAAAATGCCTCCATAAGATCCCCCTGTAAGGCAGGGGAATCTTATGCTAATTAGTGACTGATGGGGGAGGGCCCAGCCTACCACGGGTGGTACCATCCCTGGGCTGGTGGTCCTGAGTTCTATAAGAAAGCAGACTGAGAAAGCCATAAGGAGCAAGCCAGTAAGCAGTACCACTCCATGGCCTCTGCATCAGCCCCTTCCTCCAAGTTCCTGCCCTGCCTGAGTTCCTGTCCTGACTTTTTTTGACGGTGAACAATGATGTTGAAGCATAAGCTGAATAAACCCTTTCCTCCTTAAGTTGTTCTGGTCATGGTGTTTCATCACAGCAATAGAAACACTAACTAAGACAGGAAAGGCAACTCACATGAGAGAAAACGTCTCAAATTAAGTATCTGACAAATACTTAAATACCTAATACCTAAAACAGACAAATCTTACAGTTAAAAAATGTATTTTAGGGGCTGGAGGGATTACCCAGCAATTAAGAACACCGGCTGCTCTTCCAGAAGACCCAGGTTCAATTCCCATCACTCACATGGCAGATCATAGCTGTCTTATTATAATTCCAGTTCTAGGGGATCCGACACCCTCAGGCAGATATACATGCAGGCAAAATACCAATGCATGTGAAATAAAATATTTTTTAAAAAATTTTACAAGTTGGTCAAAGATCTAAACATTTCACAAAAATACACAAATGACTAAAAGATGCAGAAAAAAACTGCTCAATATCATTGGTCATAAGGGATTGATACAAAGGTGGTTAGAATGAGAACAGATGACAGCAAACAAGGCTACAGGTAAATTGGAGCTTTCAAATACCACTGGTAGAAACATAAAAAGCTCAGTCTGTCTTTGGGTTAAGTAATGGATAAAAATAGAGCACATGGAAATGGCAACACACACACTGAGATCTGGATGTGAAAGTTCAGAGCCAAACAGTGAATACAACAAAGTATCCCTCAAATAGCTAAGTACTAAATGTGGCAAGGTGAGCAAGGTAGGTGGCTTGGCAGGAAAGGGCTCTTGCTTTCCAGCCTATCCACCTGAGCTTGATCCCTGGGACCCACGTGAAGTGCCAGGAGAGAACCAACTCCACAAAGTTGTCCTCTGACCTCCAAGCCCAAGCAGCACACACACATCAGTAAATAAAACATTTTAAGATCACTTAACAGCTGAGCGCAGTAGTGTACTCCTATAATCCCAGCGCTCAGGGAGGCAGAGGCAGGCAGTTCAAGGCCAGCCTGGTCTACAGAGTTCCATGACAGCCAAGGCTACACAGGAAAACCCTGTTTCAGAGGGGGAAAAGGAAAAAAACAAAAACAAAAACAAAAAAACAAACAAAACCATTGGGATTGGAGAGAGAGTTCCGTGGTTAAGAGCACTTGTTGCTCTTCCAGAGGACTAGAGCTTAGCATTCATGCTGGATGGCCCACAGTCTCCTGTAACTCCAGGTCCAAGAGACCCGACATCTTCTGGTCTAGATCAGCATACACAAATAATAAAATAAAATAAAATAATTTTTTTCAAAAGAACAATGTAGTATATCAATATGGTGAATATTGTTCCACATAAAAAGGAACGCTGTATCATGCTTAACATGGATAGATCTTGAAAACATACCAAGGCACAGACTATTATACCTAGGACAGTTTTTTGTATGAAATCTTTGGAATAAATAGAAAACAAATTAGTGAGGTAGAAGAATTACAAATTTGAGGCCAACGTGGGCCTAGATAAGGCTAGCAAGACCCTATCTAAATCAATTAAAAAAAAAAAAAAAAGGAAAGAGAGAAGGAGGGAGGAAGGAATAGAGGGAGGAAACACACACACACATAGAAAAAAAACAGATTGATGGTTTCTCTAGGCCTGAGGGCAAAGAAGGAAGTTGATGGCTAAAGGGTATGGGCTTTTCTCTACAGCAATGAAAATGTTCTAAACTGACTGACTACAATACACAGCACTATATATACGTTAACAGTCGTGGCAACTTCCAAATGAGTATATTTCATAGTGTAGATCTCAATAAAACTGTTTAATAAGGTCACACTGGGCCTAGCTAGATGGCTCAGTGGGTAAAGGCACTTGATGCCAAATCTGAAGATCTGAATTTGATTCCTGGATCCTCAAAGGTGGAGGGAGAGAACCTTCAAACTGTCCTCTGACTTTCATACATGCACATATACATACACACAAATAAGTAAACGAATACAAAAAAAAAAAATCATACACAAGATGGAATGTAGCTCAGTGCTAGAATGCTAGCCTGACATGCATGAGGCCTTAGGTTCTGTTTCCAGAGTCACAAAAACAGTAATACAAATAAGAGAAGACTAGGTATGTGCTAATTATTTCAGTTTTTGTGAGTCAGGAATTAAGTGTGGCGTAGAACGGCAGCTCTCACAGGGGCACAGACAAGGTTTCAGTCCAGCTTCGGTCATCTCAAGGCTAAACTGAAGCAAGATGTGCCCCCACTGGCTTCCCCTCAGGGAGAGAGAGCATACCCCAGACGGAAGCAGCCCTTTCATACTCTACCCTCCCCTCATATTTTATTCATTGAGATATGTGGAAAATCCAGACCACACTCAAGCATGGAGACTACAGGAGGACTTCATGGTCTATTATTAGGATGTGAGGAAGATCTTCCCCTTCACCAAATTCTACTCAGCTCTTCTTAACGAGGCTTCCATTTTTCACCACTCCACTGCCTGATTTTAGCAAGAATCCTACAAAGTCAGTTTGGCCAGAATTGCAGCCTTGATATCTGATTGCCTTCCTATCTGATCGGCCTACATTCCCATCATCCCCCCAGGTAACGTCCTAGGCTGACCACTGCAAGAATCTTCAGTCTGTTGACTAGAACCCCTCCCTGCGGTGTTTCCCTGTTACTAACTCCCTTCTACTGTCCCCTATACCGCTACTGTGCTACTGTTTTATATATTCTCACTTCCCAAGTCGGCGTTGGTGTAAGCCTGTAGTGCCAGCCACCTGGGACAGCAGGATTGCTTCAACCCAACCAAGAGTCTGAGACCAGTCTAGACAACATAACAAATGCCCACATAACACTCTCACTTTGCCTTGAGGTCTTCAGAGTTGCATCCTCTCCCTGTCCCTCACAGCAGTCCCCACCAACAATCCTCAAAAGTTTACCTTACCATTCCTACACAGGTGTCACTGTCACGGTTTGTCTTTAACAGAAACTCTAACTAGGTAAACTATAGCAAAACTTCTGAAAAGACAAAATTTAAGGACAATTTACAAAACTGTAACATATAGTATATACTCACTTATAAGTAGATATTAGACATATAATATAGGATAAACATACTAAAATCTGTACACCTAAAGAAGCTAAGCAAGAAAGAGACCCTGGGTAAGATGATCAATCCTCACTCAGAAAGACAAATGGGATGAATATCAGAAGAAGGAGAAAACAGGGAAGAGGACAGGAGCCTACCACAGAGGACCTCTGAAAGACTCTACCCAGCAAGGTATCAAAGCAGATGCTGAGACTCTTAACCAAACTTTGGGCAGAGTGCAGAGAATCTTATGAAAGAAGGGAGAGATAGAAAGACCTGGGAGGGAGGGGAGACAGGAGTTCCACAAGGAAAGCAACAGAACTAAAAAATCTGGGCCCAGGGGTCTTTTCTGGGACTGTTTCTCCAACCAAGGACCATTCATGGATATAACCTAGAACCCCTGCTCAGATGTAACCCATGGCAGCTCAGTATCCAAGTAGGTTCCCCAGTAAGGAGAACAGGAACTGTCTCTGACATGAACTCAGGGGCTGGCTCTTTGATCACCTCCCCTTGATGGGGGAAGAGCCTTACCAGGCCACAGAGGAAGACAATGCAGCCAGTCCTGATGAGACCTGATAGGCTAGGGTCAGATAGAAGGGGAGGAGGACCTCCCCTATCAGTGGACTTGGGAGAGGGCCATAGAAGATGAGGGAGGGAGAGTGGGATTGTGAGGGAATAAGGGAGGGGGCTACAGCTGGGATATAAAATGAATTGTAATTAATATTAAAAATTAAAATTAAAAAAACCCTGTAACATAGGCAGCTGATTTGTGAATACAAACAATGAAAGCTAGAAGATAATGGAAAACAGACTAACTGTTAGAAGAAAATATCTACCATTATAATGTCTTAGTTTAAAAAGCAAAATAAATGACAGTTTTAAATAAACATCTAAATTGTCTTCAGTAAATCCTAAACTAAATGACATCCTATAGTATTACTTCAGGCAAAAATAAATCATTCCAGGGAGAATCCTAAAATATACAGAGAGGAACACTTTCAGGAGACTACACTGAGAAACCTGCAGGAGCCTGGACTAGTCAACATTCCATCACAGAGGGCAAGAGGCCACTCTCCCAGGTATAGGAAGTTAAAGGTTGTTCGTGGGGAGGGGCTAGCAAGGCCCCACCCCTCCCTGAGGACCCAATGGCTGCTAGGTGATTGGAAAGCATTTCCTTCCATGGTACATAGCTCCTAGTAAATCAGCCCGCATCTGTGCTCACATAAACATCCCTAAACCTACAGAGTCACACAAAAAAAAAATACACCCAACAAAATAACACACACATGGGGAGAAGAGTGACTGGTTAGGAAGAGGCAAGGAGAAAACAGTAGTAAAAGAAAGGGTGGTAGTGCCAAATATGATCAAAATACATCATATACAAATACGAAATATCTTGAAGTCACTATTATATTTAATTAATATATGCTAATAAAACAACAAAAAGGAGCCAGGTGTGTTGGTATAATGTTCTTATGGAATGTATACAATTTATCCTTGTTCATTCAAATGCTGATTTTTCTACCCAACCATCTGGTTTCAATCCAGACACTGCATTGTAATGCGTATTCTAAGCATCACCTGTCTCAAGTTTGCGTAAACACGACACCATCTGTTCTCTCTATATTGTCAATAAAACAACCAGCCCCAATGCTGAGCAAGGGAAAGGATGGGGTGGCACATCCTGGTCCGGAGAGGGGAGGAGAAGGAAGCTGGTTGGAGGCAGGCAGAAGCCAAGAGGACAGGACTTGGAACCACGAGAAGGAATGAACCAGACCTAAGATATGACTAAAAGCAAGCATAATGTGGGAAATCTGAATGGGAAGAAACTATGTGGGCGTGGAGGTTTAGGATGGAGTAATCATTGCCCAGCACTTTGCTCTAGGTTAATTAAATAAATCCCAGTCTCTGTGTGGTGTTTTGGGTATACAGTTGGTTTAGGAATAACTGCTGGAGATAATGAAGGACATGCCCTGCACCAGAACAGGGCAACAACACCGAGGCCATGTTAGCTCTGACCTAACAGGAGGTAGCTCCAGGAAGGAAGGGGGCGCGATATTGCAGCCAAGCAGAAGAAAACCTAGCCAAGTCAATCCCCACCAGTATTTAGCAGACATTTGAAGATGGTCCTGAATTCCACTGGGATAATCATTAAACCAGTTACTGAGAATGCAGCAGCAACATGTACCATTAAACCCATTAGATAAACCTATTTGCTCGCTACTGTTTAGAAGCATGTAAGTTATTCCCAGGTAATGGGGGAAAATCTACTATTTCTACAGACCTCTACGAAAATAACTTCCCTTTGGTCTTTTCCTGGGGTCTGTAAGAACACAAAGGGTCCAGAAGAGGAAAGTAGCCATACTAGTAGCAGGGTCCGCTACTCTAGAGCTGGGTGGCTTTGCATTGCAGTCATACTAGGGGCCAGCCTGGATCACAGCATGAGTTCCAGACTAGCCTATGATACAGAGTAATACTGTCTTAAAAATACAAAAAAAAAAAAAAAAAAAAAAAAAAAAACCAGTCACTTCAGTCTGTGTGTAACATAATGGGGTAATGACGTAAGACTTAGAAACAGGGCTCCAGATGAGGAGCTAACTTGATCCCATCCACTCAAGAAATATGACCTCTAAGAGAAGAGCAGATGTCCATTCATATGCCCACCTCTGCGGACTTCAGGAGAGAGCACATCTCTCAGTTCTCTGTTCTGCTTTGTTTTCTGAGACAGGGTCTCACACTGTAGCTCAGGCTGGAGCCCTCTAGGCAGCACGGGCCTGTTGAGGGCTGCTCTGGTGCTCTATGTATTCAGCTGCTGAACTCTGGGCCCTGGGACCAGGCTGCAGTCCAGACGTGGGCACTGTCACGTTCTATGATCAATATTGCGTAAACTTTGCTCCCCAATTATCTCTGATTGGTTAATAAAAAAGCTGATGGCCTTTTAGGTGAGGCAGGAAATAAGGGGGTAGGAGATCCAACAGAAGAGATAAATTTTGGGTTAGAATGAGAGGCAAGAAGATTCACCCCAGGATTCTGAGTAAGAAGGATACACGAAACTGAGGAGAGGTGGCCAGCCATATGGCACAAAAAGAACAGAATAAATGGGTAATTTTTTTTAAGTTCTGAGTTAGTAGGGGAACAAGCTAAAGCTTATGGCCTAGGCATTTATTCACACAATAATAAAGTGTCTGAGCCATTTTTTTAGGAACTGGGGCACAGGTAGGAAGGTCCACAGTTACAAAGGGTTACATAGGCCAGGCTTGAACTTGAGCTGATCCTCTTTGCCTGAGCTCTGGGGGTCACCATAGCAGCCTCTGTTCTTTCAATACATCTGATGATTTAAAATCCCCACAGAACACAGGTCAGCCTGTCTGCCAACTACCCCATTTCTGAACTTCAGAAAGTCATGATTGTGTTAAGGATGGTTCCCACCATTCACTCACATGACATCCAACACAGAGTCATTCCGAATGACCTTATGAGAGACATCAGCAAGTAGGAAGAGACCTCCATCTGTCCTCCGGATGCTAGCTGCGTAGCCGGGCCAGATCTGCAATCTGAAGAGAGAGGTGTGCTAAGAGCATCAGGACTACAGAATTCTTATTTTACAAAATACTGAAACTGCCCTTCCTGATAATAATGAGGAAGTCCTAATAGGAAAACGTAACCAAGTCAGTATTAGTACAAATTTACTAAAAATATAAATAAAAAGATTTAATTGAGAAATTGTACTTGCCACCACAAAATATTGTTCCAGTTTTTGTCCTAAGTACAGTGGCCACAATAAAAAGCTTCTTTCCAGAAAATTCGAAAGTAAAGGAGAAGAAAAAAACACCAACCTGTGTTGCTGTAGTACCATGGCACTTGTAGGGTCATAAAAGTTCCTCCCCACAAGTTTCATATCCAAAAGTTTCATTACCCTGAAAAAAATGGCAGTGGTTGAGTTTCCTTTCTTCTCAGTGGTAGGGTGGACCACAGAGCTGCAAGCACTCACCCTGCACCCCAAGCCTAACAAAACAGTTATCCAAAAGTTCTTTCAGCCTTAGCTATGGCTTCCTCTGCAAGCCTGAAGGTGCAGAAAAGCCCCTGTTCTTGGCATAAAATAGCTTCTGTTTGGGACAATCTTCCTATAGAAAAGTAAAGCTAGCCAGGCATGCATCTGGAGTACGTACAAAGGACTGAAGGCTCTCAGTACCCAGCTCACCAAACCCAGGGCTATTTCCCAGCCTAATTATAATACTGACCACCCCACCATGAACTAAAGAGAATGCAAGTGAACTGGTTTCCAAATTTGTGAACAGCCCATCAAGGGACTCTGTTCCAGCAGCTCACTTTAGGGTCTAGCTCATTAAATGAGGGGTAGTTTGGGATTAACACCTGTGCAAAAGTGAGAGCCTCTCAAAAAGACAAACAATTATAAGCTATGTATAATTTTTTTAAGACTAGAAAATATCTCCTACAAAATATTCTTGTGCTCTGAGGTGCCCCCTCACTTACAACGCTATTAGAGAAACAGTATTGACATCTGTTTTGACTGAGTGTGGTCGCTCATGCCTGTAATCCCAGCATTAGTGAAGCTGAGGCAGGAGGATTAGAACAGGTGATCCTCAACTATATATCAAGCTTGCGACTAGCCTGAGTTACATGAAATCCTATCTAAAAACAAGTATCTGGTCTAAAAATTCTTTGATTAATCCAAAAAGGCACTTGCCTACTCAGCTACCCACATGCCTAATTTCAGACACCCAAAACCTGCCCTATCAAGTGAGAGGTCATTTTTGGGTGAGCTGATACTAAGATCACTCAGTAAGTACTTCCTAGCCCACCCACAGACCCAGACACTGTGTGTGGCACCCACCATACTCCTGGGGAGCCTTACTCCAAGCACTATGAGTTAAAGGCTCAAGACTGCAGCAGCTTCCTTACCGCCGGAAGACAACATTGTAGAAGGGAATGCACAAGTCAGAACACGGCTCAAGGATCTTCGTCAGCTGTATCTTAATGCTGATCTCAGCATCATCAGTTTTCCTCTGGCTTTTTAACTCAACAACCTAACAAATGCATACAAGTAACAACAACAAAAATGACAAAGCTACAAAGCCTTAACTCTAGCTCTAGAGTTCTAGAGCTTCTACTTTCCCCTCACTTTGCACCTTGCACTGGCAAAATCAGTGTGACATTAAACAAACAAACTAACTAACTAACTAATATAAATACAATTCAAACTTGAGAATTTAAATCCTTAATTTTTAAATTGATTTTGTGTATGGACATGCGCACTATGTGTATGGAGATGCTGAAGGAGGCCAGAAGAGGGCGCTGCATCCCCTGGCGGAACTGACACTGGCATCTCTGCAAGAAGAGATCAGTTGTTCTTCACTGCTGACTTATCCCTCCAGGCCCTGAAGTTGAAAATTTGAGCAACTGTCACAGAGGCCAAATGATTCCTACCATTCTGTCTATGTGAGACGTTACTTCTTAAACTCAAGTGGGGGATTTCTGCTGTGTTCTGTAGAAATATGCCTTCTGTCTAAAATTGGAAAGGTTCCAGTGAAATACCACTCAAACCACAGAGCTTGCAGTTTTACCCACACCTCAATCTCTACTGGGTCTCACTTGCTGAAGCTTAACAGGAAGATAGAGGATAGAGCCATCAAAAGCAGTGACAGTTCCAGTGACAGATTGGTGGTCCTTCAACATGCCAAACCTCATGCTCTTGCACTCCACATTGGGGCTGCAAAATAACAAACAGGATTTTAGTTTCAGTTTGACTCAAACAGCAATCTTTACAGCTGTGCAAAGCTACTTTGAGAAGCAGGTTTTTTTGTACCTGCACTCCACCTAGTGGTCATATTTATACTTACACAGCTGACTAAATAGACAATTACTCAAAGAAGTAGAAATAATAGAAAATGTAATTAATCTATCAGACTCGAAGTGTATGCCTGCAATTCAGCTACATGAGAGGCTGAGGCAGGAGGATCAGCAGTTTAAGCCCTCTTTGAATAACAGAGAGAGAACTGGAGAGAAGACAAAAACAAACAAACCCAATCCATAATTGTAGACAGCTAGCTTTACAGGCCACATATATACTTCTAGATTTCAGAGCAGCGGTTCAGAACATGGTGTAAGAGGCCATGTTGTAAGTATCTAAGGCTTTTCTTGATCATACACTCTTGCATCTCTGCTGTCATAACACAAAATCAGATAGAACATAGAAACTCAAGTGTGGCAGAGTTCCAATAAAATTTCACAGTGAAGCAAACTGTGAGCCAGGCCAGTCAGTCTGCCGATCTCCACTCTGAGTCTTCAAAGACACACATTTTTAAAGTGCTTTTTTTTCCTTTTGTTTAAAAAAAAAACAAAAAAACATTTTTTTCAAGATTTTCAAAATTTATGTGTATATGCATGTGTGTGTGTACAGCTGCAGAGGCCAGAAGAGGGAGGGTAGAATTATCCTTGGAGCTAGGAGTTATGAGTCACCTGAAATGGATGCTGGGAACTGAACTCAGCCCTCTGTAAGAGCAGCAAGAGTTTTTGGTGGTGGTGGTGTTTTGTTGTTATTGTTTGTTTTGTTTTTCCTCTAAAGCATCTCTCCAGCCCCTAAACTGCTTTTGTTTGTTTTGCTGTTAAAACAGTCCATGTAGACCAGGCTGGCAAAGAGGTCCACCTGCCTCTGACTCTCAAGTGCCGGGACTAAAACATGAACCACAATACTTCACCATAACATATTTTTTTTATTATACAAACATAAATTTAATAACTATATGAATGCATACAACTTTGCTTTACTTTTGCTGCTAAACAAGTAGATAAAATTACTGTCCTGGTTTAATTGTTCCATTTCCCAGTCACTGTCTTCAGGTTTACATGGTTCTACCATAAGGTATTTTTAAAAAATGAGATCTTAATCATTTTCATTCATGGCAATTTCAACTTTTTATTAATTCACTCTAACAGATTGGTAGCTTAAAAAAAAATTCTAACAGCTACCTTACACAAGGATTATTTTACTATATCACACTAAGATACAATCTTGTTCTATAAATGTAAAGTGTGAACAAATCCAAAAATAAAAAAAGGTAAAGTATGCTCAAGTATAGGAAGACTTTAAAAACAACTCAACTGTTGCTCCTAAACTTAAATGCTCATATGATAATATTTATCCTCAAAAAATTCTCATATGTAGATTAAGTGTACTTTATGCCAAATGCTTAAATCCAAAGTGTTTTGATCCTAGAATATTTTCATATATATGATGAAATAATCTGGAGATAAGACCCAAGTATAAACATGAAATGCACTCATATTTTATATATACCAAGTCCAAAAAGTAATTTGTAAAACTTTTATAAGTTTAGAGTTTTGTTTTTTTTTTTTTTGAGAGAGGGTCTTTCTATATAGCCCTGGCTGGTTTGGAACTCACTGTGTGACCAGGTTAGCTTTGACCTCATGGAGATCAGCCTGCCTGTGCTCCCTGAGTGCTAGGATTGAAATCATGCACCAACACACTGACTCAGATTTGTTTCATATATATGAGTATTTCACCTAACTATGTATAAGTACCCACATGTGACTGGTGACATGGAAGTCAGAACAATTCTATGTATGTATCCAGATGTGCCCGGTGACCAGGGAGGTTAAAAGAGGACATTGAACCCTCCGGAACTGGTGTTATCAGTTTGTGAGTCACAACGTGGGTGCTGGGAAATATCTCACCTTCTGCAAATGCTCTCAGCTACTGAGCCATCTCTCCAGACTCTTACATAATACTTTAACAATTCTGCATATGAAAGTTTTGTGATGTGTAATTTTCTAGTCATGGCTTCATGTCCACATTTAAAATTTTTTTAAATTTTCAGATTCTGGAAGATTTCAGGCTTGGGATTTTCAGATTAAGACTAACAACCTCTACACACTTAGAGCAACATTCTGACATTCGCCTTCCTGTTCATAGCCCATGAGAAAGCTACAGACAACTAGCACACTGCATCAACATCTTCCCTATTACCAGTATCTTCTCAACTACTTCATATCACCTTCACACTGTGGCCTCAAAAGTCCAGCTGGGGCCAGTGAGAAGCTCAGTTAGTAAAGTACTTGACCTTGCCCTGGTTTGCTTTTATAGCTGTGATAAAACACCATGACCAAAAGCAAATTGAGGGAGGAGACAGTTTATTGCAGCTTATAAATCTTAGATCACATCCCATCACTAGGGGAAAGAACTAAAGGCAGGAAAGCAAAGGCAGGAACAGAAGCAGGACCCATAGAAGAGTGCGGATTATTAGCTTGCTCCCTATGGATTTCTCGGTATTCCTTTTTATAATTAATTTATTCTTATAAATTACATCCCAATTGCAGTTTCCCCTCCTTCCCTCATTTTCTTCATCCCCCTCCATCTTCCTCCCTCCCCATCCACTATTCCTCCATTTCCCTTCAGAAAAGGGCAGGCATCTCAAGAGTTATCAACCAAACATGTATATCAAGTTGCAACAAGACTAGGCACCTATAAGACTAGGGTTCCAAAAGCAGGCAAAAGTGTCAGACACAGTCTCTACTCACTCTGTTAGGAATCTCATGAAAACATCAAGCACACAGCTATAACATATATAACAGAAGGTCTAGGTTAGACTCATGCAGGCTCCCTGATTGTCCGTTCAGTCTGAGTGAGCCCCTGTGAGTCCAGTTCTGTTGATTCTGTGGGTTTTCTTGTGGCGTCCTTGACCTCTCGGGCTCCTACAATCCTTCCTACCCTCTTCAGCAGGTTTCCCCGAACTCTATTGGTTCTCAGCCTGATTTCTTATACCAGGACCACCTGTCCAGGAATACCACTACCACAGTGGGCTGAGACCTCTTGTGTCAGTCATTAAGAAATGCCTCCAGACTTCAGGCATTTTCTCAGATGAGGTTCCTCTACATAGGTAAGGCTAGTTTGTGTCAGGCTGACATAAAACTAACCAGGATAACAATATAGCATGAGGACCAGAGTTTGACCCTGGTACCCATGAGGGCATAGCTGTAATTCAGTGGCTGGGAGCTATACACATGGATTCTCGGAACTTGCTGGCCACTCAGCCTTTCCTAATCAGATATGCAGGTCCTAGTGAGGGACCTTGCCTTTGCAAACAAGGCTAACAGCTCCTGGAAATCTGTACCCATGTGTGTGCTCACACAAAAACACCATTTAGATTACACAAATCTGGAGCCCTATGAATCCATGGCTTCTTCATGGCCCAGCCAGCCCTCCCTGCTTCATCAGAATGCACCAGTCCATACACAAAGAAAGCATTCTTCCCTCTGACATCTAGCCCTCCCTTTATGGTCCATGCTAGGCCTGCTTCCTGGGATTCCAACTGGTTGCCTTCTCTGCCTCCTTCCCTTTCCATCAAATGTGAACTGTGCTCTGTTTCCTGGTAGAAAATCGGTTTGGTTTTGTTTTGGAGTTTTTGTGTGTAACAGCCCTGGCTGTCCTGGAATTTTCTTTGTAGACCAGGCTAGACTCAAAGAAATCCACCTACCTCTGCCTTCTGAATGCTGGCATTAAAGGTGTGTGCCACCATTGTCCAGCTCCATAGTAGGAAATTTTTCTGCCTTCTTTATCATTGTTTCCAGCTTTTGAAATGAGTGGTGCGTTCATGGGCTGTGTTCTCCCTACTACCTTTAATCTTAGGCATGTTCTCTGTAACTCTCAGAGTTTACAGAAGACCAACAAGGGTACACTGAAGCAAATCAAGTAACTTTCCTTTTTCTTGTGGCCAAAATCAACCATGTTGTCCACATCCAGACTGACCCTTTCTTTGGTTGTCACAATTCTTCTTGGTCCCTTCCCCCTAACCATCACTTTCTTCTCTCTTTCCATTCCACTTTTTCCTCTTCCATCATACCATCATTTAGTAGCTGTCCTTCAAAAATTCACCTTTCTTTCTTTCTTTCTGCTTTTTTATTTTATTTATTTGTTTTATTTATTTATTTAGTTATTTAGTTATTTATTGGCTTTTCAAGACAGGGTTTCTCTGTATATCCTTGGCTGTCCTGGAGCTCACTCGCTGGCCTTGAACTCACAGAGATCCCCCTGCCTCTGCCTGCCAATGTTGGGAATTAAATGCATGAGCCTCCACCACCTGGCAAAATTCACATTTCTTAGTAAAGCTACTTTGGAAAACAGTATGGAAGCTCTTCAAAACAAAACAAAACAAAACAAAACAAAACAAAACCAAACCAAAAAAACCAAACTTGAAAACAAGGCTGAGGACATGTCTTAATATTGGTAAACTTCTTTCCTTGCAAGCTCAAGGACCTACACTCAACCCCAAGAACCCATTCGAGGCCTGGCATCTATGCACCGTGTGTGTGTGTGTGTGTGTGTGTGTGTGTGTGTGTGTGTGTGTGTGTGTGT